GCACTCGAACCCGCTATGCCAGAGCGACAAAAGCGCATTTGGCCCACCACAGGCTGCGTTGGACAACTGCACAACGCCCTGCCGACAAAGGGGAGTCGCCATACGAACGAGCGCTGACTTCCAGACCCCTAGGCTCTTCGCTAGAATCTCAATCTCCTGCGAAACCCGGGCCTCTCATTGAGCATCGACGTCAACCGGCCGGACCACCTCAAGCCCACGCCCCGCATCTACTTTCCGAAACGCGAACGAGTGCATGAGCCGTCCTGAAGCGCAGCTCGCATTTGTCGCTGCGTCTAGGCAGCCCAACTGAAGAGATTACACCACACCAAGAAAGCTGACACGGTCGTACTCCAACAGCATGAAACGTGCTTTGCCGGAGCGCGGACATGGGATGCGCAACGCCTCTGGAAAGGCCTGACACAAGGAGATGGCACCTTGCTTGGCTGGTAAGTTACCCTGCCGTCTCTCTTCGAAGTCATATACTGATTATGCGGTCTGGCGCAGCTCTCAGCTCTCCTTATTCTCTCTCTTTCGCATGGAACGCTATCGAAGGCGATGCGACCGCTAGCCACGAACACCGCTATATCTTCACCCCCTACGAATAATCAGGCTCGTCTTCGTGATGATGCAAAGCTAGACGGGTAGCGATATCGATTGCGACGCTCGAATGTGACGGGTACAAGGTCAAACATCAGAGGATTCTTGGAGGACTCGCGGCTGTAGTTGCGACTTGGGCAAGCCCTGATACGTGGGCTGTAGGCTGTTGCATGGAGCCGGCTATCGCTCGGAGGTTGAATGCAGATTGGAATACCCTTCCGCTTCTGGCACTCACGCCGACGTACGACCACCGCTTCTCTAAACGTGAACGAGATCCTCCGGTATCGGGGCACATTGCGCTACACTCCGGTCGGCCACAGGCTCCTGGAAATTATCTACAACGCGACCTCGGGCTCATCACGTACCCGTAGACGGAAGGTCAGGAAGTGGCGAGACTCGGCACGCACGAGGTAGTTTGAGCAGGCCTTCTTACTCTACTTTGTCGTCTTTATGGCTCTGCAGCAAGTATTGCGCTTTCGTTATGAACGACAACTTACTGAACATAAATACAACATTAGGTTCTCTATTAATTAGCAGCTCTATGCCTGCTGCGCGATAGCTGTTAACCATGTTTACGTTTAGTCTAAATCTACCGAACAATATTACACTATAGGAAGTGTAGCTATTCGAACATTGATTAGCAATTGTTACGGCGTCTACTTTATATTAATGAGCCACCTATCCGAAACTCTAATGCAGCTTGACGACTCCCGCGGAACTCTCGACTTATTCCTGCAATTCTGTTATCGACCAAGCTCTTATTCACTGGAATGATCGTGTAGCTAGACATGCGCAAACTTTACTTGATATACCAAACGCGACTAGCCTCTACTTATTTTCTTTAAATCGAATGTCTGCTCGTACTTGGTTTTGTTCGTTAAAGCATGACGAGTTTGGATGGAGAAGCTGAGTAGACACATTACGAGGACTTGTTAGACACCTTATGCTGTGATTACGTACGGCCAAAAGTTAGTTCTGGATGTTGTACTCTTGTGCATCCTTTCTAGCATCGGTCACACCGCAAATGGCTTAGCGGCCAACATACTATCGGTGGCGTAGAACTTTAGTCTAGGATGAACCTACACATTTTAATATGCTTATAGCTTGCTGCATGCTGTTACTTTTGTGTGATGGAGCGACTGTATTTCTATAGCTCTAAATCTATATTACGATTCGGTCGTCTTTATCTTGCATGAGTGGGGACTATTGCACAACTTTTACAAGACATGGTGTAGGTATGTTCCTCATTTTAGTGCGCTCGATCATACATTAATATACTCCGAAACGAGATGACACAGCTTCTGCCCGGATAAGATTGCCTGAAAGTCAGCCATGATTGTTGCTGGAAGTCGGCACAGGATTCACATGATAGCGCGATAAGCGATAAGCGGTGCCAATCGCGCGACGTCACTTACTCCTTGCTCACCACCTGTGCAGTCTCGTCCGATGCATCATAAAGCCGTTATCGCAACAATTCGCAACATTGGCTCTCTGCGAAAGCTTCAACTCGTCGCGATTGTCCCAACAGGTGCATTACCCAGGCCGAAGCCGGTATGAAACGGTCGTCGTTCTGTGCAGCCGTGCCGGCACCCTCGTGGGCATCATCGACATGACCACCACCAGTGTAAGAACGTACAAGATACCTCCAATGCACCATCACTGACCACAAGTAGGACATCAACTTGATAACCGATGTCAAAATCACTGTCCTCTCACTTTATATCTCCGCGTCGATATTCTCCAAGACGAACCACACGCCAGCCACCGTAATCCACGACACGAACACCAAGCCCGACATTCCATGGCGCACGCTCGCACGCGCAATCGGGACGAGCCAGACTACATACTACGCCGGCTGAGGATGAGGAGGAGAAGCCAGTGGAGCTTTCAAGGGATGCGGAGCCGCAGGATTGGCCCGGAGTGCTGAGAAGTCTGGAACGCTGGACCACATCGCGCCTTGGTGGAACGCCGTCGTAGGCTGGATATGGATGATGTTGCGTGGTCTATATGCATCATAACGGACGCGCATCTTCAGTCTCCCCTGCATGGCGCCTGTTCGAGTAGCCATCGGATATCTAGTGATATCCCATTCCGACGGCACGAGGCAGGTCACTGTCTGAATCTCCCACTTCGCCATGCTGACAACGACAGGGTTACGCTCTTCTAGATCGCGACGCAGCTGAGCTCGATTAGCTACCAATACTGCGCCCATGTCATAACCACCCACGCCTCAATGGATGCCCGACGGACGAGACGACGCAAATTCCAACGTACACAGCGTCACTATACACACGAGAAGGGGCGGAGTGTGACTGCGGTATAGCTATGTGCTGTACCATAAGAATATGGCTGGACTTCACGCGGAGTGAGAAAGTCTTTTCACGATGAGCTGTTCAGGTCGGACCGTGGCTCCAGATCAGCGCAAGAGGGCGGTAGTCTCTTGCAAGATAACCGGGACGCAACACTCATCGTCATGGCGCATTCGTATTAAGTTTCGGCGTGGTTATGCCATCGCGCAATGGTACATTAAACACTATTTCTGAGTCGCCCCGACCATCCAATCGACTCCAAGTGAACGCACACTCAACTTGTCTTATGCAAAGCTTCAAAGATAGAGCCGACGCCCCTGCTCCGGCAATCCTTTCATCCCCTTTACGCATACAACTTGATCCCCTCCAGGTTCACGTCCACTACCCGATCGGCGCACAACGAGTCGAACAATTTCTCCCTCATATATTTGAGGACCTGCTTTGCTTCCAGAGGAGAGAACTGCTTTTCGACTGAAAGGTTGTTGTTGATGACTCTGAGGACTTTGTCGAACGGTATCTGTCGCGCCTTCGGTTTCGTAATCGCGAACAACGTGTACAGACCCGTGCGAAAAGCCCTGTAGCGCCCTGGTTTGACCAAGCACTTTCTCCGCGGAGACTTATACCCATCGATGGGGGAAGAAGGCTCCGTGTCCGAGGCTTGCTCGTCATCTTCGCTGGTAATCTCCACGGGGCTACTGCCGCGCGAAGAGCCGGAAGGCACGTCTTCGTTCATCTCGGCGCCTTCGGGTGTAGACGTGGGAAGAGACGGAACTTCGGTCTCGCGATTTTGGTCGATCATGGAGAGTGGCGTAAACGCTCTTACGAGACTCTGTTGACTCTTTGCGTCGTTGTTGACCGAAACCGAGCTCTTTTGATGTAGGGCGATCCCGATGTCATCATCGCCATCGTCGTCGATGCAGATGGGCGCGCCTTGCGTACCTTCACCAAGATTATCGAGAGTTACTCGCGACTTCAGAGAGGTCGGCTCGATACGAAGCTGGCCATTAGTCCGGAAGCCAGCGGTCTTCTTTCCCTTCGGCACCACGGACGGCGCTGCCTACATTTACATCAGCTCCATGCTACCGGTAATGCTCATGTCCTTGACACATGGTACTCACTTTCTTAGGCAGTGGACGATTCTTCGTCTGACCGTTACGACTGCGTGGCGCACCAGGTGTGCTCTTCTCCTTACTCGCCCTTGCAGAACCAGCCGCAGCTTTCGCGTTTGGCAACAAGGACTTTGTCGTCGATCAGAACATACTTGAAGCTGATGAAGCTGTCTGCATACCGGTTTTCGGATTCTGAACCCGTACTTGCTCTACATAACCTGTTAGCATTGAGTGGACTAATGGCGAACGAGGGGTCAACGTACCAGCGCCATGCTGACTGATGGGTTATATCAAGCGACGATACTCCTGATTCTAATCGCAAGAGAAAGGACAACGAAAGAATTTGCTGGAACGCCATTTTATTGTGGAAGTGAACGCGCCAAGCAGAGATACCCCTGCTGTCGCCCCGGGTGGAAAGGCCGCAGGAAAAGTGAACGTGGGTCGGACTCGCAGGGCGAAAGGGAGAGCGCAAGGTGAAGAGGGATATTTAGATGACCTGATGCGACGGGCCTTTGATACTGTCAATACCGCCCGACATATGAACTGCACGCTCGCATGCACCGATTGATCGTAAGACAGCCGAGCTTCGTAGCATGAGACTGGACGCCGAAGGAGATGAAAATCTGGGGATCGCGACAAGTCATATTGAGAGGGTGTACGTAGTCTTGTTGGTCCAACACACTGTTAACGCGGAAGTGATAGTGTTTGTCGCCAACCCCAAGTTTAACGTTCAAGCTCTCTGTTTTACGTATGATGGTCACGTTCGATTCGAAGGGAGAAAGCACGCACGGACAATGATGAAAGAACTCGTGAGCGTAAGAGCGGGAATAGGCAGACACCGGGGCGAGTGGGTCTTGAGTGTGACCTAGGAGGCAATCGCTGGCCGCTCGCTCTCACCCAACACAATTTGTTTCCCACGTCGCGATACTCCTCCAAATACACTTATTACCGTGCTGAAGCTTTCCAACTCTCCGTACCTATAGGGATGGCCTCCGATATGCTTTCTTCGACGTCAAACCTGACACTGTGGGAAACTATCAGTGCCCGTCTTCCAGCCCTCAATACAGCAAATAAGGTCTCCGAAGGCACAACAACGACCGCACTGCGCTATAACCACATAGGTCGTTTAGAGAAATGGGACATCAAGCCCGAACTGGCAAGATTCAAGAAAGCCATAACGCCCGTGTTCGATGCATACTCCGCGGGCCCGAACAAAAAACGCCACTCTGCACAGCCAGAATCGCTTAAAGTTGCTGCTGAAATCGATCTGGACGGACGAGTAAAGGATAATCTTGTGGCACCTGTTCATGAAACCTTACATGAGCTCCAAAATCAAGAACATGGTATGGCCACGCCATTGCTACCGACCAACTTCCAATACTCGAGCGCAAAAGGCTATCATAAGGATCTACGCCCCAAAGGCCACGAACCGGATCTTGTTATCGAGGTTGCCGATCTCAAAGGCAACAAGAGAGTGCGCATTGTTGGCGAGTTCAAATCATGCACCGCTTGCGATATCGAAAGCATGATCAAGGAGCCTTGGTCACACAATGCCAAATCGTTTTGCAACCTCCTGGGTAAGCTATGGGAATCCAAAATGATCTAAATTGTACTAACGTTTAATTGAAGGACAGCCATCTAGAGACATGCGAGCGTTCGACGTCAAGTACGGTTTTGTATCCACATACAACCAAACAGTGTTTCTCAAGATTGAACGGTCGGTCGTCGACCCAAGTCAAATGGCTCTGTTCTATTCAGAAATATTCTATGATACAGATTCTACCCTGACCACGTCGACGATTGGAAAGAACGACACGCAAACCTTCGGCACATCCTTCGGTTTCCTTTATTTGCTACACCTAGTCGCGGGCGAGGACGAGGAAACCTGGAAACTCAATCGAGATGATATTCCAGACCCCAATGAGTGGTTCTTCGAACGAAGCATAGAGAAAAGTTTCCCCAAGGCCGTCATCGCTGGACACCGGAGTACACGCGGTTCAAGTATAACGCCATGGGCTCGAGCTTCGTTTCTGCGCCAAGACCTGTTACCAAAACAAAAAAGGTGTAAACCGGCAGCCAGGAAGTTGAAGCGCTCCGGTGTTAAGGACGAACAAGACGGTGAAGCAAGAACGAAGAAGTCTCATCAAAAGGTCATCCCCACAGTACCCACTTCTAATAGCCTGAACGTCTCAAGAGGCCTTCGGTCTGTCAGTGCCGTCAGGTCTAACGAGAATTCCGGGGACTTGAGCGCTCCTGTCGGAACACCGCCTTTGGGCACACTGCCACTGCGTGGACGCCAGCAGCCCGAAAGAAATGCAAAGCGGAACCCGAACTATTATTAATCTTCGATGGGCTGGAAGTGTGAAGCGTAGCGAAGACGAGGGTGAGGATAACAATGCAGAGGAGAAGGAAAACGACTGGGAAGACGACAAGAGTATGTAAAAAGGCTGGCCATGGATTTATGATACGAAAGGGGAGGACATCTGCTGGAAACCATCGTGTGTGATGGACCACCGTGGGTGAGACGTCGAGTTGGTGTTGAACTTTTGTAGCTTCTGGGAGGATCACATTGAATGGCCTTGAACTCTGCTATTTTCAAGGTTGTCTAGGCTTCATGACACACATATTACAGGAGGACGGATCGTCGCAGGCCTTGTGTGCATTCACATAAACATGTGATATTGAGGTTTCCGTGTGTTAGCCTCTTGTGGCGTCGATCCGCATCTTTGTATCTTGGCTCCAAGGAGTGAACGGGGTGGACTAGCCTAAGAGTTAGTGTGCGCTAGCCCGCACATGGCTGGCTCGTGTGACCGACCCCACCTGGGCAGTGTTTGGTATCGATCAACGCCAATGCCCACGCTCTCGCACAACTACACGCGGTGCGCCTCAACTCGTTCCAATATTGCTGCAAGATGTCTTCTATATCCACCGATCATGATGCAAGCTCGCGCGACAGCATTTCGTCTGCTGAAGATCGCGATGCGAGTTCACGCGACAGCGTCTCGTCCGCTGAAGATTCCGAGGACTGGGTTGACATTCCCGCAAAGCCCCACAAGCCGTCTAGGCTGTCCTTGTCGTTGCGCAACAATCCCTTCGTCAATAGGATCTTCCGCCTTGCCGATAGAACGCGATGGAAGATCTTGAAACCACTATCGCTACTCGAGTTCCAGGAGGACTTTAGCCCTTGCGAAGCGCGCCAGGTCTACACATGTGTTTGCCTCGATGAGCCATGGAAAGGCGTTGGCGAGTGCATAGTCAAGATCAAGTTTCAGTAAGTCTTCTATACTCGTCGCTTAGATTTCGAATTAACAGTGGCAGGATCAGCGCCAATCAAATGGCAATACAGGAGTATGAGGCACTGGTCGACGATGATCTGGAATATCTACAATCGCATCCCAACGCCGACCGCAAGATGCTTAAAATCCACGAACATCATCTTGAAGTTTCCACCAAGCCCATAACCACGCACTGCAATGGCGCAACCGCAAATGAGATGGAAGCCCTCATTACCTTAGGGGCAAATGGGTGTCGGCATGCGCCTTGTCTCATAGGTGTAGCGGTGGACCCTTTACGGCGTGGCCTGCATCGAAAGGCCATTGCAGGAGGCTATTGTGTCTTTCTGCTCATGACCAGGCTGCCCGGAAAACCTTTGGGCCTGGACTCTTTCTGCAAAGCACCGCGCGATGAGCGCGATCTGATCCGCGAGGCTTTCAGGGAAGCATGGCTGTGAGTGTCATATTCCTTGATATCTCAGGTATTTTACTAACTTCGTGATGCAGCGCCGTGGTGAAGATTGGAGTCGTTCCTATGGACCGTGCTCTGCGCAACATCATGTGGGATAAGGACGAGTCCAGGTGGTACGTAACGCTTTTACCGGTAATTGCCTGATATCTAACATTTGCACCTTAGTTACATCATCGACTTTGAAGACATCGATAAAGTTCACACCAGCGAATACGACTCCTTGAGTCTTTCAGACAGAGAGCTTGCGCTATGGATACCAAGCGAGGAGAAGGTCGCGGAATACTTAGCGGTTTAGTAGGACTTGGAAAGAGACGCGATCATGCTTTCACCGATCGCATTGGTGGACTACCATAACATCGTGTCTCTTGGCTAGGAGTCGGGCGTTTTGTAGGAGGTTCGGTAGCGATAGATACCCCCATCCAGCGCTGTATCAATGCAGATATTGTCAAGATGAACTACTCGATCAAGCATGCGTTGGTGATGATAGGACGACAATCTCCGTGAACTACCTAGGTATGCTAGAAAATTTGTACTCCTTCAGTCTCAAGAGCGGACGACGATCTATTTTGACAAGACCTTGTTGAAGCGAAGACATTGACTGAACATGCGTTTATGGTAGGATGATGATGTGTTGAGAGTTCGCCGCGGAAGTCTTCCTTTTCGGGTGCTAGCGCGGCCGAGAAAGCCCCGAGCCCCAGCCTCATTGAACGTCGCGTCACCCCCTCGCCTTCTCCTTCGCAACTCCTACCATTTCCTTGGCTAAGAAGCTTCGCCCTCAGCGACTCCTCGGGAGTCACCGATAGACACGGCAACATCTTTGATGGGCCGAAGTCAATCATCATTTGTCGGCCAGGCATCAGTCGTCGATGACCTTCGTAGCTTCAACACGTCACTGCGGAACCCGACTTTGCCTGCAGAGCCATCGCCACAGACTTAAGATGTTCACAACTTCCTCCGAGGTGGCTGTACAGCGATGACACTTCGTGCGTGGTACTGTCATCTCCACACCGCCAGCTACCCATGACGTTCCTATTCGAAATCAGCTATGCAAAGTGCGACTATGATATGGGACTAAGGCGAACGCAACGAACTTTGGAGAGTATGCATCATGAGATGAGACGTGGTAGCAGTCAACGGCATATACATATCCAGGTATATTCCTCGTCTCGACTCCTCGATTGTCACATTCTATCTTCCTTGTCCTCCCGCCTGCTTATCGCGCAATAGCACAATGACTTATGATGATGAGCACATGCATTCACTTAACACAGCACTAGATGTCGCCAGAATATGCGTCGCATTTTGCTCCATACACACATCTAAATATACGCAGATAAATACTCACTAAGACAATGTATACATTAACTTGCAAAAGAAGAAGCACGCATTGAGGCCAACCTTGAGAAAAGACGAGAGGAGCGACACCAAAACCACATACAAACGACGTTGAACAAGAAGCCACAAAAGAAGCATCCACCAGTGCACCATACCCGACGATGAGCGAGAAACCATACCTTCTCCTACCGACTCCGACGTCCTCCCTTCTCCGTACAGCCAGAGCCCGTCTTTCATGGCAGCAGCATGTTTACGACCCCTCGCGCCTTCGGTCAAACTCGTCAACGCAATGCATAATTGCAGCGACACCCAGCTCGGCGCACGAGAAGATCGCCCTTTCCTTCTTCCAAAGGCGCTCGTCCATCCTTTTCGTCTTTCCAACCTCATGCGAGATGTGGAAATTATGGAAGTACCCGCATATCTGACAAGGCAAGCGGGCCTTGATGTTATTGTCGAAGGCGATACCAGGACTAAGGGATGGAGGAGCCTTTTCGTAGGGTGACTCGGTACCCTGCGGAATGTCATGGTCCTTGAACTTGTTGATGAGGTCTTGTTTGGCGCGCTGCATAGCAGGTAGGTGAGCGAACGACTTTGCGAGGCCATCCCGGCGTTCTTTCAACAGTGCTTGTTGGCCTTTGTGATTCCATCCCATGAACGTGGAGCGGACGGTGACCCAGTGCAGTCCTCGCTCAGACTGGCGGCTCTTGGATGGAAAGATGACGTAAGAGCACAGAGGAAGGACTCTCTTCTTCAAGCCAAGATCATGCACCGTAGTCTTCATCTGTTCAACTGGATTCAGTGTTAGCCAGCTTTCTCGCATGGATGCTTCGGTGAACTTACGAAATACCCTCAATTCCTCCGGTGTCGTAGGGTAGCTACGAGCCTCAGCTTGTACAACCTGGGCAACAAGTTCGAGTGCGATTTCTGGAGGCGATGCTCGCACCTCATGTCCATCGGCGTCGCCGGGTGGGTTAGTCTGCTCGGGTAGCAGGTTTTGCAGCGATTTGATTACACTATCCAGTGACTTCAGTGTCTTTTGCATACTCGGCACATGCGTCTTGAACCTTTCGTTAGCTCTGAGACAGAAAAACCTCTGATGGAGTAGTCTTTCCGTCTGCCATCGAAGAGTACTAGCCATATCTTCAATGTATGGATACCAGCGGCTCTGGTGGCTGGAATTGGCACCGTATTTGATTCCATCTTTGTCTGGATCTTGGAACGCTGGCGATAAGTCCAGATAACCCTTCCGTGCGGCGAGTGTCTCAATTGCCCTTCCAACAGAAAGCAGTGTGTTTGCATCTTGCATGAACTTGTTCGCACTGTCATGCGGATCGGCCAGAATTGATTCGAAGTTGACTGCCGCTGTCCAAGATGGTAAGTCGTCCACATTCCCGACACCCAGGTGTGTGTCGCACTTCACGCAGTCTATGATGCCATCTCCAGTCCCACCCCATCGCCGGAACCGTCCCAGGTGTTTTGAAGTAATGCGTGTACAGCTCGGACACACTCCTCTTCCAGTAGGATGTACGTAAGGCACAATGGCAGGAGGGAGCAGTGACGTGGGAGACGGCTTAGGGGAGAAAGCAGCTTTGAGCAACGATGAGAGGGTGCATTTTGATCTGGTAGCAGGCAAAGAGCCACGCGGTCGATATGGTAGCAGGGTGGGTGGGCAGTATTGATGATGGAACGATACAGAACCCAGCTTTCGCATAAAGGCCATGTTGCTAAGGAAATATTGTGCTACTCCAGTTGTGCAATTGAACTGATTATATGTAATATGTACCTTTTCTTGAACTACATACTGGGTCCCGCTTGCTACACCTGCCATTGGCTCTTTGATGAGCTCTGGCGAGAAGCAACTTGCGCTGTCGATTTGCGACGTTGGAACTGCGTCGAATCGACATGCTTGCTACGCGTCTTGTCTGGAAGCATTCCTTGTGCTAGTGCTACACGTGCCTGCGCTCAGCGTGATTGCCCTTGTTAGATCTGAAAGCAATCTTTGGGCCACGATTGGCTTTTCTTGAGTTTGACATGTTGACACACTCGCGTCGATGAAAGGTATCTTTGTTCCTGGTTTGTTTGGTACCGCTTTGTTCAGCATGTTTGTGAGGTTACTATTGCGAGATCATGTTTGCACTGGAGCTTTCTTTGCCTAGTTCTAAACATTTCTGCATTCATTCAAAAACATATGCAGACTGGTGTCGACATTGCTCAGTTGTTGTGGAGAAACCCGCAGGTTGTCGCGGCGTTTGTCACCGTCTTGTCACTAGGAGAGAGTGCGCAATCATCTAAGTTGTGTGCTGTAGACTCCACAGTCTGGTGAATTTGCTTCCACAATCGTTCGCCGCTTTGACGTAGTCGCACAGGAACCATGTTTGGTGTTGCAACCGCTGTGCATAGCACAATGAATTCCTCCGCTCCGAAGCCTAGGCAGATCAGTTTGTTCAAAATGGTCTACCAGTTGATCAACATCCGTGCGGAATGGCTTCACTACCGAGATTTGAACAATAACATCGCGACGTTGATGATTCGGGCGTGACCTTTACTATCACAGTCAACGCGCTAGATCCTTCGCTAGTCTCACCCCTAGCCTATCAAAACCCCTCTTACTCTGGGCACCTGCCCGCCTCCACTAGTGCCCGCGTACCTCACCTACCTAGGTATTAAACCTCAGCTCATTCCACCAATCTTTGCGCTCATGGCATCCTTCCGTCTTCTTCGACGTGCAGCACCTTTCTCACTCCCCGCCCGCCTTCTCAACCATCATCGAATGTCGACGAACAAGAAGGCACGTCCACACCTACCTACGCTAGGTTTCGGTAGGATGGCTGATATGAACAAGAACGCACATCACGTTGGAGCCCAAGAATATGCGGCTTTCTCGAGGTGGCGAGCTAGCACCGAGAAGCGCGCACTCCCCTTCAAGCAACAGGTTTGCGAGTTCTTCAAGGTCGATGTAAGAACTACGGTGTATGCGCTGCTTTAAAGAAATTTACTGACTTCATGTGCCCTCAACTCAGGTGGAGGATAAACAGAAGTTTGGCGACATCTTGGATGAATACATGAAGAGACGAGATGCATACGCGGAACTACCGGTGCCTCAATTGGGCGAAGAGACCGATCTGGACAAAGTGCTTCGCATGAACTTCAACCGAGAGTCGACAGTCACTCATATGCGGGATGTTGAAATGCAGCTGTCCAGCCGACAAACCTACGGTATGGGCCACCACAAGAACGTTGAGCTTTATCTAGAGATCCTTCCAGCCGAGCTCACCGCTCACTACGCTCCTTCAGCTATCAGCGAGATTAATCATTACTCCAACGCGGTCTCCACCCCGTTCATATACGCCAAAAATCATCTGGGAAAGCCACACGGCAGTGACGATGTCGCCCGACCAACACAGTCTGGAGGATCGTCTGGACCCTTAAATCAGACGCGTCCGTTGTGGTTCGAAGCTAACCCGAATGCAACCGGGAACGCGGAATCCCCAAACCTGTACAAATCGAAGTTGGTACACATCGGGATCATCAACGCCGAGGAGCACACCAAGGACCGCGGCATCAACACGCAACAAACACCATACGCCGCCGTAGGACAAGTTGAAGACGACGGTCATATCAGTGGCATCTACGCCATTCCTCTGGATCTGAAGGACGACGAAGAAGAGCACGACATGTCGCCGTCGAGGTGGTACGATCTAAATGACCTTTGGAAGCCAGACAGGGTTGGTGTCTACTATCTCGGCAAGACGCTTGAAGAGTGCAGGAATAACGACTGGAAGTTGGTGTCTGACGGCCCGGTCGAAGTCATCCACATACCGGTGGATGAGTAGTGAGTGGACTATCGGGCCTTTGTTGCATGGAGCGCGAAGGAGACATGCTAACCTCCATCAGAAGTGTGGCGATGGTGTCGAGGATGTCGTCTTATGGGTCTGGTGTTGCGTGGCCTTGGGTTCTGTCGTGAGGTGATGTCGGAGTCTGGCGAGGTCAAAAGGCTTGATGTTTTTGTGTTCTCCTCACACGACCCATCACTACTAGACACCACCCCCAGCTGGCTGTATCTGCCGCGATCAGCGTTGTGGAGTTGATGATGGCGGTTTCAAGCGGTAGCGAGAAGTGATGACTTCGATGCGCGCGATGATTTTAGCGATACAAGAATAGACTCCAGTAATGAACAGCTCACCCAATCTTGTCCGCCGTGCGTTGGTCCTGAGTAGATGTGGCGAGAAGTCCCAGTGCTGCATGCCTTGTCAGGGCCAGTCAAGCTTTGGGTGTTACCTCGGTCCATGGGTAAAGTAGGCGTATCTTCCAGCCAATTGTGATCTCGCTAGTTTGGTCGTTTGAGCTGGTGATGTTTCTCCCTGGAGGAGATATTGCCTGATGTGAGACGTATGGCTTTTGAAGGCGTGGGTTGCACATTGTCCTTGTGACGTTGTCGGCACTGGTCCAAAGGATAGCCATGTTCAGTAGGATACACGAACGAATGGAAGTCCAACATCCACATGGTTCGTTTTGCTGATGATGCACGCATTGTAAGAGTGACTTCATGCAGGCATCAAGTCACATTGTTAGAAGAATAGGGTCGATATAGGCAGACGCGGGCTTGCCATCGCGACCAGTCGTCTGCGGAATAGATGGGTAAAAGCCATTGCGATACTCAGCTGCTAAGGCGCGCACGTTGAGCGGGTATGACGCGCAGTCGTCTCCTGCCCTCACCGAGGGGCGCGCACCTTCATGCCCGAATGGTCTCTTCGGAACGAGGTAGCAGGGCCCATATATATGTGTGATATTCGTCATCGCGTCGCAGCTATACTGATGAGCGGTCTTTGAGTTGAAGACCTTGCGTACGGGAAGAAGATGCGCGTGTTGTTGAATGTTACGAGTTTTGACGCGGCCGGTGGTCCCAACACAAAGCCAACGTGGCATGACCACCTCCGCGGCGCTGTCTTGAGCGCTATTGGTGGAGCGCGAGTCAGCCCAGGAACTCCACAACTCCATTCATCACCCAGGGGCCTGACTTTTCCCACTCGCGCCATGCCTTCTCAATCAACGATCTCGGACCAGGAGAAGCTTTCTTGTAAAAACGATGTTCCAAACCCTACATCTCTGATCAGAAATGAGCTGTTGGCATCGATCTTGTCCGGCGTCTGGTGATATGAGAAACAACACGTCGCACGTCTGAGTTCTTGTACTTGCACCGGCGACGCATGGAGTGCGGCGCATCGTGATGGTATGAAGGCTGGGTTGACAAAGCCTGGATTCGCTCGCGTCAAGACGGAATCAGTCTGATGGGCCGTAGCAAACTGCACCACATTTGGCGTGCTGCCGTGTTCCTTCCCTCCAACCTTCACTACATCAGACGGGCAGTGAACCTTTGACGGCTACCACTCAGCTTACCCGGGCAGAACGGCATTCTCAAGCTCTCAAAGATGTTGTTTGCTTGATTGCTAGCCAGAAGAACACTCCAGGCCGATGCATATATCCCGTCCCGGAACTGATAATTCATGTGTGTAGAAAGGCAGCCATGGCACGAAACGACCACGAAGTATTGGGTTGAGAAAATGCTATGATGAGCACTTCCATCGCTTTTTGTTACCTATATCTGGCTTAGGTACTCCCGCAACACACACGAGATACACGATGACTGAATTCGCCCAATAAATATGGAAGGGATGAGAAAGAGGGTCTGGCTTAGGAAGTTACAACCTTGTGATCAAGGACGGAACGGCGTATCACATCGCAGATGCATCATGGCCATAATGCACGATGGGACAGATGATGTCAAGCAAGGTTTTCATTAACTCTTTCAATATGGATGAATATGAATGGGTATCATCATGGTAGTAATTATTCATATCTTTTTCTTCCGTCCGTCCTCTAGCATGATCGAATCTGCGCACCGGGAGCGGCCTCCATATCGATTCGACCATGAGCCTGCGTCTCGGGGAGTCTGAGGCAGCAAGATCTTGAGACACCAGCGGCGCACGGCGATGTCGACGTTATCGAGTTAGCCGGCGAGGCTGCGCTGCGAAGCGCCCTACTTTTTGGGTCTGCGTCGGTTGACGGAATCGTATAAAGGACTGAATGTAGAACTGGGGAGACCATCGTCGCAGTCCTCAGCAGTCTCCGCCCAGCACCTTGGCTTTGCCTTTTCCACTGTCGCACTTGTCCATTCTCTGAATCACGGCAAAGATGCTGTGACGTGGCCCTGCGCTCTTCTGTGCCTTCTTCTTCTCCTTGCCCTTCCCCTTCTTCTGCTTGTCTTGACCCTCTCCTAGAACTGACCGCATGCCGTTATCGTCTTGCATTGCCTTCTTCATCACCTTCTGCTTCTCTTTGTCCTTTGCATTCTTCTTGTTTGCCTGCACAGCTGGCATGACTGGAAGCGCCGGGGGGCGGGCGTTGTCGATGGCAGAGGGACCGGGCTCGGGGGAGGCCTCGACTGCGGTATCGACGTCCATCTCCTCGTGCTCAGGCTGCGCATGGCTAGCCTACTCCGCGATCGAGACATCCCCTATCACGCTCGCAATCTGCCAGCACGACGGCCACTTATTGCCGTTTTAGTCCTGCCCGGCCCATCGCACACGATACTCCGGTTCGTCGGACGTTCCTGGATATCTTTTGTGTGTCAAGCAGTCGACTTTGTAGGTATCTTTGGTGTGACCCGCCGGAATTCGAAGCTTCGCGCGAGTGCGATAAGTGCGCGGCTCATAGAAGTTCATGCCACGAGCGGCTGAGTGGTGGGACAAGCGGCGCGTGGGCGCGGTGGAGCTGTCAGCTACACACAACGTTAGTACGACGATCAGGTACAACGCGGATGGCGGTAGCGGGTCAGAGCAAGGGTCCTACCGTCGCGTGTCATAGTGGCGGGGTAGCGTGGGCGCTACGTTGCTGGTGTGGCCGAGAGAGATCGCGGTTGGGCCGGAGATTTGCCTGTGTGCGCTAGCCGAGCCTACGTCAGATGGTGAGGATGCGCAGCACTTTCTTCCAACGACGAGACCGGCAAACGCGAAAGCAGCATGTATTTTATCGCAGCAGGCATGAGAATGACGACTCATGTACAGATTTCCACCCTCGTCCAGGAACGGAAAAGACTGACGTCGTTTCTGATTGGGTCCTTGTCTGTGCAGAGGTCTTGGTGAGCTGCGGCGGTTTTGGCCCAAAGTCTCATGGCTGCGCACATCCGATCTCCGCCATACCCCGGATCCTTTGTCGCATTGCCCATCTCGAAGTACATGGCCTTTTGCAATGCTGATGTCTACCCGTCGTGGTTGTGGTGTCGTATGGCACTGTTTTGCAGCTCGCCAGCAAGCCCCACGCGCGTCGCATCCCGTTTCGCCCGGCGACGCCACCATGTTTACGTCGACGGAGATGAGATATCGCACCCGCTAGGTCTTCGTGACAGAAGCTCAACATGATGATGAAGGTGCCATATACTCGTCTGCATGGGTGTTCATCGATGACATTCTTCCAACCTGTCCGTCGTCCACAAGAATGCTCGAAAGGCCGAGAACGTGTGAGGGTCGCATAAACAGAGACAATGGCTCCAGCTTATTTTTCCTTTGGACTTCCCTGAACTCTTATCGTCATTTCGAATTTGTGTCGCTGCGAGGCAAATGTGAAACACTGATTCAACGCCGTTACTCTCACCCCTTCGGTTCAGCGCCGGCGCAGTTGCGAGGTCAAGCAAGTGCTCGCATCGCACCTGATGCATCGCTTCCCCTATTGGCTAATGGTCCGTCAGCATCGAGAGCAGTACCATCATTATCATTGTCTACTCCTACCGAGGCAATTTATGCCATCCACAGCGCACTGCGGGCGAAGCCAAAGACCACGAATCATTGCCTCACACCTCATCAATATTCTGACCAGATTACAGACCCAAGGCCGACCTAGACGGCATGATAAATATCGCGTGTTTCCTCCCGGATGTTCTCATCGTGGCATATTCTACGCAATCCCCAGAACGTTATCTCTACCCAGCGGACGAGAACAGTGGCAAGATTTCGAAATCGCTAAACATCAATCGGACCTGCACTGTGACCCTTACGTAAGTACATGATACGGAATCACGTACCCTTCTCCCCTGTGCTTCCCCGCTGACTTCCAAGATCAGGCGCAATGGACAACCGTCGTTCGCCCCTACCTATTTGGCTCGATATCCTGTTGTTCATAAACCTCACGATTGTCATGGTCTGTACCTCCAAGATCTTCCTTCACAGTCTCGGCTACTTGGATGCCCACTATGTCTCGGGGTCGGACGCAGATGCTCGCGTGTTGCTTCTAGGAGGGTTCGTCATGATCCTGGTTGCCATCATGATCATGAGGAGAGCACAAGCTGTCATCAGAGACGTGGAGAAGCTCAAGTCTAGCATGTCGCTAGCCCGTCGTGAGCTAGCTGTCGCCGAGCGTAATCGTCGAGAGTCGCGAAGGGAGGAAGAGGACGAGGTATTCGAGCTCATCTTATCGGACGCTACTACCGATACGATTTAGGCAAACCTGAATGCACTCCGAGCCTATGCCGACGCCAACAACGACATCATGGCGATCCTGGACAGAATGCACGGTCGCAAGGACCCCGATATGGCTTCTATCAGGAGTGTGCTCGAGGTCAGAACCGCCATCGAAGAGCTGAGGAGGAAGAGTGGCGACGAGTTCGAGATGTACATTGCTCGCTTGGACACTATCCGCTCGGCTTTCAGGCAACGAGACACCTAGGATACGTACCATGTTCTTCCACCCGAACTTTGTTAGCGAGACGAAGGAGGTCGTGGTTCCTTTCATACATGTATTCGTGTCGAGAACTTTCCTAGTTACTGTAAAGAAACTCAGCTAGCACAGCAAAAGTTTTGGTAGCGTCTTGCCAGTTCTTTCTCTATACTGAATTGATGTCTCCTCTTTTGCGGTGCCCATGTATCAGAGTTAGTTATAGCCAGTGTACTACCGTCTTCCTCGCTGGTCCATCTTCACCCAAAGGTGCTGCGGAAAGAAGAGAAGTAAGCCAAGGAGCATGTTTCTATTGCGATGCATCGTCTTCTCTGCCAAGGGTGATACACAAGACCCTCATCCCTATGGGAGATGGAAAGTCCAATGATCTTCAACCTCACTTCCAACCCGGACGTGTAGTCTAAAAACCGCGTGTGAATGTAAGTACATTAAGGCCACCAACATGTCGATTGGGCGAGCAATGCGGAAAAGACAAGCCAAGGCTGGTACGACGGGCGGCTCGGATCGATACCATTTGACAATGAGGCATCATGCCGGCTCCCTCCCACACAATATGACATTGACATTGTTACCTGCTGAGGTGCGGCACCGGTATGGCAATATTGGGACCGGTGCGATATACAGGCCACATCTGAGCTCGTCGAGGGGCCATCAGGCTGTGCGCATTCCTCTCCGCCTCTCCTCGCTACCCGACACAACCCACGATCTAGCTCACAGGCCCATCACCTCAGCGGGATCAATGCCATGCAACCGGGTGTATGTAGGTGCCGTCCTCCTCGTGTATCACCAACCCGCCGGCATAGCAAAGAGCGGCTTCGCTTATTCGGACGTCGTCGAGGGGACAGATTTTGAAGAGGGTCATCGTGGGCGCATCGCGGGCTGGGACAGGTGCTGCAGACAATCGCATGGCTGGCCCGGATCGACTGGAAGGAGGCTCGAATGGAGATTGGAGGCGAGCGATGTGTAGAGGACGGGAGCATCAGTCTCGACCGCCAAGGCGTAGCGCAGTGAAACCGCCAAGATCTTCGAGCGCGGAGATACATGACGATGTGCTGTGTTCTACATCTCACCTGATGGCATTGGCTTTGCCCGGCACTGCTCCGATATCTTGTCATATTGTGGTGTCGGATCAAGCTCCTAAACGGTGAATCGAAAAAGACGGGTCAAATGATGCAACGCCAGTAGCCGTATTTTCTCCTTCTCACTCGGTCGGCTTGTCTGATCTCGTACGCAGGGAAGGGTGGTTGATACGGGGAGCGGTCGAAGACTGGTCCGTGTGCGTATGCGGTGAAGCGTGTGTTGACGGACGATGAAAAAGAGTCGCAGCCTCGTACTCTTCTAAATACCAAGAGTCAGTATGAAGCCAATCTAGATGAATGCAGCCTGGGCAGTTCGTACCTTTGGATGGCGGTGATTTGGGATCGCAGCGCGAGCTCTTCAAATCGCAACACCCTCCTCATGGCAGTTGATGCGCCTCCATACGCGCCTCGGTACTTATAATGTCATCTCTCCCCTTTGGACACACGATTAGAGGTTGTGGCGCCGTTGGCACTGCTGGGTGTTGTGTTTTGGCGTTGCGATCCGCGCCGTACATGGCTAGTGACGTCGCATCACCAACGGCGCATCGCATTGCTGTGAGTCGAGAAGAACGCAGTAATGGTGGTGTAGAGCGCGGGATCAATCCAGGGGCACGGGTACCGGATGCGCATACGGGCGTACGCGGTGTCCTCACTCGAGGGCGCGGTGGCCTGCGATCTTGCCCGGGTGGAAGCTGACTAGTCGGCACGTGATGACGACAGCTTGGCAGGGTCCTGCCTCCCCGCAATCGAGGCTCAGCGCATTTGCCAGATGCTTTCGCATCCTCGTACTTCGTCGGCACAAAGACGAACACCTTACCTGCCAATGGCGGCGCTGTCGCCCACGAATGAGAGGCATCATATCCTTGTTGGGTGCGGCCTCGGGGGCAAAGCAGCTGACTTCCGCGCTAGACAGTTCGCACTTAAACTCAACGAACGGCGACAATACTACACCAAGCATATTTTTCTGCCTAAGACTTCGAAGGGAGATGAATTTATAGTGGTATCAAAGTTTCTCCAACATTTTGCCCGGATAAAATCGACTCATCAGCCCCAGCGATAGAGAAGTAAACGGCACGGAAGACGATGAACTCAACGATGCCAATTCACATGCGCTGGAACGAAGTCAAAAGAGTCAAGCCATATTCCGGCACCAATTGTTTGAGAAAGAGCTGGATACTGGTCCATTTATCACCCCAAACCGTGCGCAGAGAAAAGAAAGCTCCGGAGCGCAGCACATCATCCCGATTCCAATGCCAGCCATAGTCCACCACCTACAAGTCTTTGATGATGCTCTTCATGAACCACATCATGACAATGAGCGAGAAGAACATGAGAAGTAGGGCCTGTCCGATCGCCACGGCAGCCATGATCATGGCGACAATCGTGGCGAGACCCTGACTGATAACCACGCTGCAGAACATCGTGATAACCACCTTGGCTTTGGCTTTCGCTAGGGCCACGTCCACCTCTTTGTCAAGACTTCCCACCCGGTGAGAGGGGACTGGCGCTTCTGCATGGTCGGGCGGACTGGCGGCTGAGAGTTCAGATGTAAGCAAACGTGTGCAAAAGGTCGGTGGTGGCGCCCAGTTGAGGGGAACCCTAGGGGACGAATCGACACTTATTCGACAGTGTTTCAATTAATAACTAACACTACACTATTACTAATATTCTTTCGCTTGTTCTTAGCGCAACATGCGCTATTTACCTATTCCTACGCCTATAACCTAGGCACACTAACGCAGTACTCTAGCTATCTAAGCCTTATTTCTATCCCTAAACAGTTCCTTTATAAAGTCTGTATCCTTCTTACTTATAATCTTCCTTATACCTTATTTTTGTTAGAACTTAGTAAGAGCATTAATCTAATGCTTAATAACCTTCTCTAATATGCCCTCTCTGTTGCTCTAGTAGAAGAAGAGAACCTACTAAAGGATATGCTAGCTAGTTTGCAAGATAACGCAGGCTTTCTTAACGTTAACTTATGCTACAACTATATTATTAGCACCTATCCCCTATTTAATGCTAGCAACATTTTTCTTAAACGCTAAGGCTAGGTTACTGCTAATATTGTAGCTATAGAGTTCTTTAATTTTGTCCTACAGCTATAGAGAGAGTGTCTTATTATTAAGAAGAAGAGTAGGAGCTGTAGGCGATAGGTTAGAGTTGTTAAGGATTTAACCTAGAAAGAGGGCCTCGCGGCTGTTAAAGCGTGTAGACATCTATTTAGTTAGCGATGTACAGTAGCAGCAGCAGCAGAGATAGAGGAGTACTTACTAATATAGTAGGCGAAGCGGGTGTTAGAGGATAGAAGGATATTCTTAGAAAGCTTTTATATTGCGCCTAGTGTGCGCAGCACTATTAGAAGTATCTTAGTACTAACCCTCTATACGTAGAGGTCTTAACAGACGCCTACAAATAGGCGTCGCGTTAATAGCACACAGTACTAAAGTATCCCTTTAGCAAAAAATCAAAAATGTTAAAATATTAGCTAGGGGCTTAGCGCGCTAAGCCCTACAAAATTTACTATCTAATCGCGAGCAGGCTGCGGGGGCCCTGCACCTTATACTTATCCCTATATTATATATACTGTTGCTTGCAACACAAACTCGATGAATTCAAAATACGTGTGCAAAAGGTCGGGTATATCGTACCTTCCACCGGCGCTACCTTCGGGGCTTTGACCACAGAAGGCGCGTCCTCACATTCATTCTCACCCGGGTTCGACGATGGGCGTTTTGCCTTGCCTGCGAGGAGTAGGTCGTCATATGGGTCTCCCTCAGTCTCTGGTCCAACATCAGTTTCGCCATCACGGCTGTCGCACCACGATCGTCACTTACCATCGCTGGAAGCATGCATGGTGAAGAGCGTGCTGATACGTTCGGCGAGCGGGCTGTCGAACAGCCGGTCAGGATCACCAAGCTTGAAGAGAGGTTGCAGCTCATAAACCTCTTCGTGGCGTGAGTTGTTGGCATTGCCGGCGCCCGACATGACGGTGAGGTTGTAGAACGTCTTCGATTTGAGATGGTGGGCGTGTGGTGATGGGCGAACAGGGTGATAGCACGATTTCGAGGAAAGATCAGCCGTGAACAGACTTCTGATGTCGTGCTTCAAGAAAGGGGACGGGAGCTGACTTCTTATCCAGACCGCGCTGCACGTTCGATGCTCTTTCAAACCTTACCAGCGATTGCGCTTAGAGACACTATATTTGGGTAACGTATGGCCACGTTCAACACTGTCCGTGTTCTGGAACTTCTTCAATCGACCTTTGGCCCAATCTGCTAGCCGAGACATGAAGGATTCGCTCCCGTCTCGATCATAAGAAGCAGAGCATCCAGATACCGGACCTTAGCAACATCGTTCGTATCTTTGAACTTGCCTTCACTCATGACAAATCTTGTCTAGCTGGCTGCATTATCAATGTTCCTCCGTTCATCGTTCGCAAAGACCAGAGTACGATGCGGCGACCATTGGTGCTCGCGCGAGTTGTGCCGTTTCGGGCTCATGCGGCACAGACACAACGAAGTTACACAAGACGCCGCTGCCGCTAGCCACGCCGAATTCATTTCGTGCGAAACCGGGTACCAGATCCTTCCCGTAACCGATGTTCTTGGGGGCGCTGTCAAGACCAAAACAAGCAACGCACCCACGTGCGCGGGGAGAACGTTCTTCGCGATAACACGCATTCGGACTGGTAAAAGCCAGTGGTGTTAACCCCTGCGTACTTCGTTCCGTGAGATCTGCTAGGATCTTCAAAACATTTTCCATTGATGTAGATCGAATTGAAGCATAGATATACTTGTTCCGTGCACAGATAGACTTGTATCTAGCCATGTAATCATGCTAACTTGTTGCAAAACCCTGGAAGAACGTCTGCGCACAGTGATTGACACTTGAAGCCTCATTACATCACTG